TGCTGGGATTACAGCTGTGACTACCATACCTGATCCTTTTTTGGTTTTGTGGGTGTGAGGGTGGGAGATTTGTCTCACCAGGCTGCTTTTTTGAAAGGCATATTGTAATCTCAGTTTATATTTAAAGTCATCTGTTTTGGCTCGGCGCCTGTGGCTTAAGTGGCTAAAGCGCCAGCCACATACACCTAAGGTGGTGGGTTTGAATCCAGCCTGGGCCGCCAAATGACAACGGCTGCAACCAAGAAAATAGCTGCACGTTGTGGCGGGCACCTGTGGTCCCAGCTACTTGGGAGGCTGAGACAGGAGACTCACTTGGGCCCAGGAGTTGGAGGTTGCTGTGAGCTGTGATGCCATGATACTCTACCCAGGGGGATAGCTTGAGGCTGTCTTAAAAAAAAAAAAAAGTCATCTGTTTTAAGTAAGCTTCTAAAAGACAGGCCTCTGAAGAGGCCCTGCAGGGCCATAGGAGCACATTTAAATTCTTACAAAGGGGCAGTTTTCTGTAGAAAGGGGATCCTGCAATTCCTCAGTGGACCTGTGGACTGGGACCCCAAGTGGCTTGGATAAAGGCTCCTGAGATGCAGGCAGTAGGTGGGGAAGGCAGTGGGGATTTCTGGGGAGCACAGAGTCCTGCCCTACTCTGGAGGATAGAAAGGCAGATAGAACACCACGCATACCTCTTTTTTTCTCAATTTCATGTAACAGTACCTATGAGGCAGGCACCATTGTCTTCATCTTACAGACACAAGTGAGAGTGGCAGAGCAGTGTTGAACCTACTCATTCATTTGACACACACTGGCCCCTAGCCTGTGCCAAGAGAGCACTCACCCCACCTAGCAACCCAGAGGGACCTGTGGCTTTCTGGGTGCCTCCACCCACCCATGCCCCTTCTGTGGCTTTAGCTCCCTCTTTCTGGCTCTATACTCATCTTCCAACTTAACCTTCCCTTGACTTGACTCTTCCATCCAGAGAACCTTTCCCACTGCCTTACCTTTTTGCTTTAGCCCACTGAGGTCTAGCCACACTCCTGTAAGATGCTGCCTGGGGCTGGCAGGAGAGCAGCCTCCTCAAGGGGCTTCTGCTATGGAAATGGCAACTGGGCTGTGTAGCTCCAAGGCTCAGGAGAGAGGTGTGGGTGGGCAGAAGAGACTTGGGGGTCTGCAGAGACACTAGGTAAAGCTGTGGGAGTGGCTACCCAAGGAGGGGAAAAGGTCATGAGCAGAGGTGAAGGCTGAGAGCAGCCCTTGACACAAGGAGCACTTGAGAGTGGAGAAAAGAGAGGGACATGGCCAGATTGGTAAGACTATCAGGTGACCAAGACGCACCTCAAAGGAAAGTGGTAAAAAGGACCTGTTGTGGAGGTGGTCATTGGCAGGACACAGGAGGGGCATTTCTCATGCCAAACCACTGCAGCTGGTGTCAGACCTAAGTGACAGCATCCACCTGCTCAGCACTCTGTGCCTGGCCAGGGCTGCTCCTGGGACATAGCTTGGTCTGCAAGGCACTCACAGGCTGGTACCCACAGGGACAGTCAGTGTGATCCAGGCCACGCAGGGGTGGGGCCAAAGGAGGGTTCCTAACCTGGCCAGCACACTTCTGGGAATGCTCTCCAGAGTGACATCTTCCCTGGGCCTCGGTTATGGCCCCTACACAGCATTGGGCAGTGCATTCCACTGTGAGCCTCTGAGGCCTGCAGGGTTCCCCAGAAGCCCAGTCTTGGAACAAAAACACATGACTATTACCCTGGAAGCAGGCGTTTATCAGGCACTGTGCTGTGCGGGAGCAGTCCTCCCCTCAGCTCGGTCTAGGGTTGGTGCCCTCACCAGTGCTGCAAAGGGAAGCAGGACAGGGGAGTAAGCAGAGGCCAGCTCTGGCTTCTCCTGAACCCGCCATGCACACAAGTGCTGCCAAAGGGAAGGAAGCAGAAGCAGGGCTGAGGATGCCAGCCTGTGGGTCTGGCAGTGAGGAAGTCCTGGGGCCCTTGGCCAGAGAGGCCACAGGTGGCAGGTGACAGAAGCCAAGGATGCAGTGGACACAGGAGTGTTGAAGCTGATGTTTATTTCAAGCTGAACAATTAACAGTGGAGTAAGGAAGGCCAGGACAGGGGAGAGAGAGGAGGTTGTGAGAGGGTCTTACAGGCCTCTAGCTTTGGGGAGGTGGGAACTGTGGCTGTGTCTGGGCTCAAAGGGACCTTGTGTCTGTGGAAGACTGCGCTGAGTAGTACATCAACAGGCTCTGGAGTCAACTACAGAATAGTTCATGTGGTCACAACTCAGAGCTTTGGTTTTCTCTGGGTAAAAGCTGTCCCGAGATGTGGAGAGCAGCACTGGACACATGAAAGAACACCCATCTTTTCCTGCTCCCTGGTAAAACAACACCCCAGGAAGCTTCCATCCCATGAGCTCCAGGCCCAACCTACAGTGCAGGCCTAGCCTTTGCTGGTATCAAGTTCCAGCCAGGTCAAACCACAGAAAAAGTGTGCTAGGCCTGGCTGGGCCCCGTGCTGAGTGGCACTCTTCCCACAGTGTCTGCACGTGGTGATGGCTGTACAGGGACTGGGGTGGGTTTCTGGCTGACACAGTTCAGAGAAATGGCCTGGGTACACCCTCATTAATTTTGTGACCTCTCAGGGTGCCAGTTTTCACCTCTGCTCGACACAGAGCATAACATCACTCTCTTGGGGCTCCAAGATGGCTGAAACAATGTGCCCATGCAAGAAGGCACAGTCCCCTTGAGAGATGCCCACAAGAGCTTCTGTGGGCCCCAGTTTGGATTTATGGCCTTTTCTGCATTGATTAAACCTCATCCCTTTCCTCTGGGGAGGCAGGAACACCTCTCTGCACCTCTTTTGGAGAGGATGGGAATGGGAAAATCAGAGACCCCAGCCACCCTCCCCAGCCTCCAACAGCACAGGCCCTGGCACTGCCCACCCCAGTAAGGAAGAAACCTACACGACCAAATCAGTGTCTGAGAGCGTTTTTATTAAGGGCAGCAGAATGGGATCGCAGCATCTTAGAAAGCCTATTCTCTGCCATGGTAGGGGGGTGCGGAGGGCAGAGAGGAGGACCTGGCACACTTCAAGGAACTAGGGGTATATGAATTCCTGAGTGAGATGGGGTCAGCAGTGGGTGGCTGTTCCACAGCTCTCCTCTCCTCCAGAGGACCCAGCGTTTTGGTTTGGGAGCAGCTTGGGCTGCCCACCAGCTTGCTCAAAGCCTACCCCAAGGGCATGGCTGGAAGGAGCAAGCTGCCCAGGCCAGAGGAGAGACACCCACTGACTCGAGAGCCAGGCGTCTGCTTCCAGGGCAAACCATGGGGTGCCAGTGCCAGGGCTGAGAGTCCCTGAGGGGCTGCCGGCACACAGATATCCTCCGGTGGTGAGCAGAGCGCAGTGAGGGGGCAACAGGCAGGCAGAGCTACGTTGGCAGAAATACGAAGCAATGGGACAGTTTCCAAGAATGGCAACATTTCTGGATTCAGGGAAGCAATGAGAACAAATGGTAGCTTGTTTGAATAGCTTCTGACAGAATTTGGCATTTTATTATAAATCTGAGTGTGAATGAATAAAATCCAGCATTACCTTTCTGCTAAAGAACAGATGTGGAAACTCTGGCCCGGCACTCTTGCCATCCCGGGCACAAAGGAGTCTCCAAAAACCTGCCCCTGGCGTACCTAGAGAAACTGAGTTCATTTACACACCGTGGGGCCATGAGCCTGGACTACCAATGTCACGCTGCCTGTCCTGCCCATCACTTCCCACCTCTGCACAGGTGGGACAAGCTGTTTTAACGCGTCGGTAGGCCCCAGAAAGATCTCAAGTTATAGAACTAAAATTAAAACAGAAAGCAAAGTTTAAGTCATCTTCTCCACAGGATCTAGTCCCCCAAGAGCCAAGAAGGAAAGCCACCAGTGACAGAAGCGGAGTTGGTGACACAAGGAGTTTGGATCACCAGCTTCCTCTGGATGTCAAAGCGACACATGTTCTCTATTCATTCAGGGACAGTCCCATTTGCCTTGAAAAGACATTAACATTCAAATCCTAACAAGTTCATCTGAAGATAAAATTCTAAGGTCAATTTTTATTTCTACAAAAAAGGCAGTCAAAACAATATAAAACACATTAAAGGATATTACTGAGTGCGCTTCAAGTGGACCTTGACTCTGCAAAGGCTGTGAGTCCCAAGGGAGAGGGAAGGCCATCTTGTTCCTGGCTGGGCTGCTCGCTTGATGCTCCAAAGGAAGGGGCCAGCAGGGGCCCCACCATTTGCCAATCCCGCAGAGAGTCGAACTGTGCTGTGGGAGGGCTGTGGTGGAGAGTGAGCTCTGTGGCACATTCGGATGGAGCTCAGTGGCAGATGAGCTTGGAACTTCAAATGGATATTCAGGCTTTAGCTTTGCCTGCAGGGACCAGCAGATCTTCTTAAATGGCTGCAGGGAGGAGTGCCAATCTTTGGCTTCAGGAGCCTTTCTGAAGAGAAATTTCATCACACACAGCATGCACAGCATCCTCTGGCTAGCAGACCCTCTCTTTGGGGTCACTACAGACCTGTTATTGCTGTGTTTCCCTGCGCAGGTCAGGTCAGGTCAGGCCAGGCCGCAGTTCAGTCACACACACTGACATTGGGGTTTGCCCAATTTAATCAACATTACTGCGGTTAATATTAGCCTGATTTTTACTCAAGAGCTAAGCCTCCCTTTTCACGGCTTTCTTTTTTTTTTGGGGGGGGGGGTTTGTGAGGGTTATACCTGTTAGTTTTAAAAAAATTTTAAAAGCTGTTATAAACAAGTCAGGAGAATTTAAACCAACTCCCATACTGGGAAGTTCAACAAGGGAGAAGAAAGGTTACCAGAAACACTGGAGTGGTCTCTTCTCCTTTGTAGAGAAGGGGCCTGGGCCCAGGGAAGTGAATAAATGGGAAATAAACTGACTGCAAGAATGTGGGAGCTCTAAGGGAAGAGAAAAGAAGGGGAACCACAACCTTTTTCTTTTGTTTGTTTTAACCTTATGGGCTAAATGTAACTTGAAAATTTTGGATAAATTTGGATAAGAAAAGAAACACCAATCTTTTGAAGTAGACTGAAGCAGTGATTTTTAAAACAAAGAAAGCAGAACTAGAACATCTTAAATTTTTAATCCTTTCTTTACAGGTTACCTAGACCACTTTTGAGTAAGAAAACTGTAGAAAGTTAGTAACTGCCACAAGCGAACGCCAGGCGGTGGCCCGTGTCAATTTTCCACAGAGTCCTGCTTTGCTGGGTGTCTGAATGCACTGCTCGGGGTCTCTGCTCACACTTGCTGGAATCAATCGTGGCAGATTTTAGTCCACAGGTCGCTTTTCCCCATATTTCTTTGTAAACTCTTCAGCATTCTTACAGAATTTTTTACGGTCCTTAGAGTATTCTTCAGCTAGGTCAGCCCGTAGCGGGTGCTCAGGCTGGGGGTCGTTCACCAGTGCTATGAGGGACTGGATTACTGCCAAGAGAAGGACACGGCATTAGGGATTAGCATACTCTCAGAAAGGGCCTGTACAAGCAGCAGCTAGTCGCAGTAATGAAACTCTGCCTTCACTGTTCATTTACAGCCAATGTGCTTTTTTTTTTTGAGACAGAGTCTCACTGTTGCCCGCAGTAAGAGTACCATGCGTCATAGTTCACAGCAACCTCAAGCTCTTGGGCTCAAGTGATTCTCTTGCCTTAGCCTCCTGAGTACGTGGGATAACACTGCAGGCACCCACCACAATGCCTGGCTTTTTTCTTTTTTTTTTTTTTTTACAAAGTCTTGCTCTGGCTCAAGCTGGTCTCAAACTCATGAGCTCAGGAAATCTACCCACCTCAGCCTCCCAGAGTGCTAGGATTATATAGGCGTGAGCCACTGTGCCCAGCTACTATACTTTTAAGACAAAGCAGCCTCCTATTTATCCAAAATTCTGACCACCAGAATGCAAAACATCTTTGCTTTCTTTTTTTTTTTTTTGGAGACAGTCTTACTTTGCTGCCCTTAGTAGAGTGCCGTGGCATCACTTGTGGTTGCTCACAGCAACCTCAAACTCTTGGGCTCAAGTGATCCTCTTGCCTCAGCCTCCCAAGTAGCTGGAACAACACTGCAGGCACCCACCACAATGCCTTGCTATTTCTGTAAGCTCAGAAAATCTACCTGTTTCAGCCTCCTAGAGTGCTAGGATTACAGGCATGAGCCTGTGCTATGCCCCGCCCCAATATCTTTGCCTTGTAATTAGAAGAAACCAATGGTCACTAAATAGCCAATATCATAGCAGACTGTTCAGAGTGATGCTCTCAACTTCAGGACCTGACACCTGATGTCCCAGCCCCCAGTCATGCCTAGCCCTCTTGCATGCTCTGGAGACCAAGGCCTAGCACTGATATATGCTCACTCTAAAGCACGTACAGTCACTCTCTCAGGGGTAGGACTAGGTGGTAGGACCCTATACTGGCCAGTAGTGCACTTGCTCAGGGCACTTTCAGTCAAAGTGAATGAGGGCAATGAGAAAGAAAGGGCGTGTGACAAGAGTTGCACCTGTTAGCTCGGCGCCTGTGGCTCAGGCGGTTGGGGTGCCAGCCACATACACCTAGGGTGGCGGGTTCGGATCCCCAGCCCGGGCCCACCAGACAACAGTGATGGCTGCAACCAAGAAATGGTCAGGCGTTGTAGCAGGCGCCAGTAGTCCCAGCTACTTGGGAGGTTGAGGCAGGAGACTCGCTTGAGCCCGAGAGTTGGAAGTTGCTGTGAGCGTGATGCCATGGCACTCTACCAGGGGGATAGCTTGAGGCTCCGTCTCAAAAAAAAAAAAAAAAGAGTTGCACCTGTCAGTGTATGATTACCCCACCCTGAAAGACCTTTAGGAGCCACTGAACCCTTAAGAAAGTGTCCCTGGAGCACCCTGTCCAGCCACTGGGAAGCTAAAAACTGCTAGCAGCACAAGACTGTCAATCCTACAGGCAAAAGTCACACTGGTGGTTCAGGTGGGTGCCACAATGCTCCCCTAAGGTACAGTAAATCCCAGACATCCTGGAAGACAAGCCCTGAGGCAGAAGGACAGTGGGGTGTCAGAAGCAGGGTGCTACCCACGCCACTTCACATGCTTTCCCACACGTACCCCAAACCCCATCAGGTCCAGCCCTGCCAGAATGCTGTGTTCCTTCCCATGGCCACATTAGCAGCAGAAAGGACCTCTCCTTTCTGAATTGCTGATGCCACATATTCCTTTACTGGGGCCCACAGTTTTTACTGGCATTACAAGGAAGGAACTAAAGGCTGATGCTGAGTTGTGCACAAGGCGCACCTAGTCAAGAGCACCATACTGAGCGAGGATCCCTGCACAAGGAACTCCTGGCCAGGTAGCCAAAGACCACCTGTCCCCCCATGACTGGCTTTTTTTTTTTTTGAGACAGACTCTTTGTTGCCCTCAGTAGAGTGCTGTGGCTTCACAGCTCACAGTAACCTCCAACTCTTGGGCTTAAGCCATTCTCTTGCCTCAGGCTCCCAAGTAGCTGGGACTTTTGGCGCCCACCACAACACCTGGCTATTTTTTGTTGTAGTTGTCATTGTTGTTTAACAGGCCCAGACCATGTTTGAACCCACCAGCCTTAGTGCATGTAGCTGGCACTGTAACCACTGTGCTACGGACACTGAGCCTTTAATTAAGTATTTTAAAAAGAAAATGTTACTAGCCCAAATGGCAAGTCACTTCCATTTGCCTTTAAACAGAAGGCAGACATTTACAAACATTAATACTGGCACCTAAGACCCCCTCCCTTCGTGTCCAGGCAGAGAAGTGACCACACCCTTCCAAAGGACACTTTGATGGCTTCTCTAAAACCCTGCCTGGGGTCGTTGGCCACAGTGTGCCTCAGTGTGCAAGAGTTCTGCATGCTACACACAGAGGCTGCTACCTTACCTTCACTGTTCTTGATTTTAAGCTTAGAAACTAAACCACATTTGCCTGACAGCACAAATTGGTGACTCTCCATCTTTCCCCAGGATCAGAAATGGCTCTCTGTAAGAGGAGAATTACCATCTCTTAGCATTTCGGGAACCTGCTGGGCTAAGGACAGGTTGAGTGCTTTTAGGGGATACTCTTCACAAGTGTAAGATTTTTCTGCTCACCCTCCATTATGTATGGTTGGGCCCTCTACTTCTGTGATGACGTTGGTTCCTAATGCATTAATATAAAACAGGATGATTATCATGTATTATTATTCTAAAATTATTTAATAACCACAATTATTTTAACTAACTAATTAATTCTATATATTTAGTCAAGTGAAATGGTGGGTGGTAATTATTAAGACTTGCTTTTTAGGCTTGGCGCCTGTGGCTCAAGCGGCTAAGGCGCCAGCCACATACACCTAAGGTGGCGGGTTTGAATCCCTAGCCAGGGCCCGCCAAACAACAATGGCAGCTGCAACCAAAAAATGGCCAGGTGCTGTGGTGGGCACCTGTAGTCCCAGCTACTTGGGAGGTAGAGGCAGGAGACTCGCTTGAGCCCAGGAGTTGGAGGTTGCTGTGAGCGTGATGCCATGGCACTCTACCCAGGGGGATAGCTTGAGGCTCCGTCTCAAAAAAAAAAAAAAAGACTTGCTTTTTAAGGCTGAGCATGGTGGCTCACTCCTATAATACTTGAACTCAAGAATTCAAGACTAGACTGAGGAAGAGGGAGACCCCATCTCTAGGTTGTGGGTGGCTGTAGTCCCACCTACTGGAAGGCTGAGGGAAGAGGGTGACTTGAGCTCAAGAGTTTGAGGTTGCTTTGAGCTATGATGCCATGGTACTCTGCCCAGGATGACAAGGTAAGACTGTTAAATAAATAAATAAATAGTATACAGTTGTTTTTAATATACTCACAAAGTTGTGTAACATCACCATTATTTAATTCCAGAACACCTTCATTAACCCAAAAAGAAAATCCTTGGGCGGTGCCTGTGGCTCAGTTGAGTAGGGTGCCGCCCCCATATACTGAAGGTGGTGGGTTCAAACCCAGCCCTGGCCAACTGAAACAAACAAAAAAAAACCCAGCTGGGCACTGTGGTGGGCACCTGTAGTCCCCAGCTACGTGGGAGGCTGAGGCAAGAGAATCACCTGAGCCCAAGAGTTGGAGGTTGCTGTGAGCAGTGACAGCATAGCACTCTACCAAGGGTGACCAAGTAAGACTCTATCTCAAAATGAAAAAAGAAAAGAAAAGAAAAGAAAATCCACTCTCATTAGAAGTCATTTCCTGTTCTCCCTCTTGTCCCAGGTCCTGACAATCACTAATCTTTACTTCTAGGGATTCACCTATTCTCGTGCTTTGTTTTGTTTTTTGAGACAGAGTCTCATTCTGTTGCCCAGGCTAGAGTGCCATGGGGTCAGCCTAGCTCACAGCAACCTCAATCCCTGATTCATGTAATATTATTGCTTCAGCCTCCTGAGTAGCTAGAACTGTAAGCGCCCACTACTGCACCTGGCTATGTTTTTGTTTGTTTGTTTGTTTGGTAGAGATAGGGTCTTACTCTTGCTCAGGCTGGTCTCAAACTCCTGAGCTCAAGTGACACTTCTGCTTCCACCTCACAGTGTTGCTAGGATTATAGGCATGAGCCATATGCCCAGCCAGGGATTCACCTATTCTGATCATCCCATTGCATCTTGTTATTTGCAACAGTTATGTTCATAAACTTGCTGTGACACAATGAATTAATGATATTGCATTACTGCTCCTAGAGGAAATAGAGGGTTAGGGTCCTAATAAGCCTTTGTTCACACTTTTGTCAAGTGACTAATATATAACTTTGGGTTTTAAAA